ATATTTTTCTGTGGGTACTAGATACATATCTCGTTACAAAAAAGCAAAAATCATTTGTTTCGGATTTTTTTCCCCAGGTCGGAGTTTCTCCTACCAGCCTATATGTAAATATTTACAAACGTCCTATCCTAAAATTGTTAGCCATGAAAAATAATTCATTTTTTACAGCGAAATTTGATTTTTGATTTATACAAATGAAACTATGCAATGGGAGAAACGCAGCACAAAATTCAAAAATTCTTGTCTGTCGCACATGTCGTCTAGATCACTAAAGGGGATGTAAAGTCATAAATATGGCTCACTAGGGAGGCGTCTGTCAGGGGGTAAGCACCATTTAAAATGTCTGTCAACTACTGTAACTTATTCAAAGTACACTAAGGTGGTATCTCAAACATTGAGTCTGGCACCAACATAAATATTCCTCACTAGAGGGCGTCTGTCAGGGGGCAAGCACTGTTTAAAATGTCTGCCGTTCATAGTAGATGATTAACCATCAAATGGCCCTTAATCTGACAAATGTTTAGTTGGTATCTCCAATTATGGATCTAGACCCATAGGGACCCCACTTTAGGGTATGTCTGTCAGGGGGGTGTTATCCCCAATATTGTCTGTCATTACTGTTTCCATAATTAAAACACCTCATTTATCATGTATAATTTGGTTTCACTCAGTACCTCTAATGTTGGATCCAGACATGTTTTTAGGGGTCAGTTTAGGGGGGCTACTGAGGTCAGGCCACTGATATAAGCTAACAGACGTCCAGTTTTATTGTACAGGGAAAGACCACTACATAACGCTATATATGAAGTTTGGTATCTCCTTCGTTGGAGTTGGAAGTTTTGGGCTGCCGGTCTAGTTGTCTTAAATCAGTCAAGATAACCACTCGGCAAACATCGGAAGATTCCTTGACCCTACATCTAGCCTCGGCTGTATGACGGTAAGTGATATGTAACTACGCCTATACAATTGCGATGTGGCACCCGTTTACTTATTAGGAAAACTTGCCGCTTTTAGAAAGAATTTCTCACAATTGCATTGTTCGAAGAGTGTGTACAATTTTTTTCAGTGCAAACTTGTCATTGTCTAAAGAAAATCGGATAAACTTGAGAGAAAAACAGCTTCAGACTTTGAAATCTTTGTATGATAGAACATTATTCAAAGGCGTCGTCATGGGCAACGCCGTTGGTAATCCAGGAACTTGAAAGTAGTTTCAATGTGGAATCTGCTGAGGTTTGCCGAGCTAGATGTAGGGTACTGGAATCTGCCGGGGTTTGCCGAGTGTCAAGATAACGAGCATTTAATACATGTATATACCTTGATATCGATATCAAACTATACAATTATCAGGCTTGTTATCTCTGTTTTAACAGACATCTCACGACATTTTAGATATACAGTACTTACCGAAACCCAACAACTTCCACGCTAATTACGTTACCGTCATTCAACTGTTTGATCAGCTGAAATAAACCAAATTTTTCTAATAACATAACATGACACATAACTGATTCAAATTTCCATATACTATTCAAAAAAAGTAGGGGATATTTGATTTTGGGGGCATAATACTAAAATATGCAAATGACTACGAAAAAAGTCACTATAGAACCTAACAGAAGAAACATTTCCAGTTACATGTGACGCCCAAACGCACCAATAGCTACCGCATGGAATGCAGGTGATGCTTGGGATCATCATGGGGGTCCAACCCAAGATTTGCACGACTCTGACTTTGAATGTTACAGTCATTGTGGCATTGAATTCCAGGGTGGAAACATCAGTTTAATTGTTTTAGTGACCAGAAAACAAATTTTGATATGCGTCGGCTTACCCAAAATGAAAGGTTACGTGCCCTTGGCATGCTACAGATCGGCACAACACAGGCGGTTGTGGCGCGGACGATGAATGTTTCTCAGTCTGTCATAAGCAGGCTATGGTCCAGATACCGTGATACACAATCTGTACAGGACAGACCACGCTCAGGTCGACCAAGGGCGACAACTCAAGCCCAGGATCGATTTATCCGTACCTTGGCCTTGAGAAATCGTGTCATCACAGCAAATCAGATCAGCGCTCGTCTTCAAACAGACACTGGTGTGAGAGTGAGTGGCCAGACGATTCGGAATCGACTGCATAGGGGTCACCTTCGCGCCCGACGTCCTCGCGTGATCCCTTGTTTGAGAGATCATCACATTCAGGCAAGACGTCGTTGGTGTAGGGATCGTCAACACTGGGATAATCGACGCTGGAGCAATGTGATGTTTTCAGATGAGTCAAGGTTCACTGTTGATTTTTTGGACAGACCTAGGAGGGTGTGGCGTCGTCGAAACGAGCGCTTCCAAGACGTTAACGTCATCAGACATGATCGATTTGGGGGTGGTTCTGTTATGGTGTGGGGAGGCATCACTGTTGCTGGAAGAACGGCTTTACATGTTGTTGCAGGGCGTGTTACAGGCCAGTACTACCGGGACAACATCTTGGCAGTCCATGTTGTGCCGTTCGCACGACGTCATGGCCGCCGTTTCATCTTCCAGGATGACAACGCAAGATGTCACAGGGCCAGGATCGTTACAGGTTACCTCCAACAACAGAACATCACCACATTACCTTGGCCAGCACTGAGTCCCGACCTCTCCCCATCGAGCATGACTGGGACATGCTTGGACAGAGGTTACGTCAACGTCAACAACGTCCTGCCAATGTCCAAGAACTTGCTGCTGCGTTGCAACAGGAATGGGACAATCTGGACCAAAATGACCTTAGACGTCTCATTAGGAGTATGCCACGTCGGATCAATGCTTGTTTGGCAAACAGAGGAGGATTTACCCGTTACTGACTTGGTTGTGATGCTGTGGTAACTTTGCTGTTTGACCCCGGGTATCATTTTACCCTTATAATGGTCAGTCTGTGCCTTACTTAGTCTAACGATCATTTGGAATAAATCGATGAATGTGAACTTCATTTCATTTTGTCATTTGTTTCTTCGTCAGTTTCATTAGGTGACTTTAATAACACTTAAAAATCAAATATCCCCTACTTTTTTTGAATAGTATATTTAAAAGTATAAGACCCCAAAATGAAACATCTGGGGTAACTGTTTTGTCTGAAATAAATTCAATCATGGAGAGGGGGTCTATAGCCTTCTGCCTGTTCCACAATTTAATTGTTTAGAAAACAAAAATATTTACATACCGCCTCCTGCGCCCGTTTCTTCAAATCTAGGTATTCTTTGGTTGCTACATCCGAGAATTCAGGCTTAAATGTTTCTTCAACAGATAGTTTTATAAATAGTACTACAACGCTCTCTTTAGAAATGATAAAATATAAGATCGTATAAACTGATAATGCCAATAATTACTGAACAAAAATTCTACAAAATTTGGTGTATACATAGATAATCTCATACTCGTCATTTTTTATATAAAAAAATATCAACACAAGTCGATAAAGTAAAAAAAAAAGCCAGGCTCTTTTTATTTATCACCCAATCCTTTGTTAAATGCACAAATAGATAAATATAATTCTTTGCTATAGGTTTCACTTTTACTGAACCCGATTACATTACGGTGTAGTGATACATAATTTTTTGACAGCAATTCAACCATTGCAAAGTCCTTTATATTGACCCAGTGGTTCCATCAAGGTCAATTAAATAAAAACAGTTCATTAACAAAAAGTTACTTTTAATAAAAAATGAACTGTTCTTTGAAAATCAAATTCATGTAAAATGATATCTCCTAAGGAGATATCGCAGTAGATTATGAAATTTATCACACAGGCGATATCTACTGTAGAATGTATTACTGGGTGATGAAGACAAATAATGCCGGGAATTGATTGGAAAGTTCACAGGAATATTTCTGTCTGGACAATTATGATGATTTCACAGTGAAAAGTAAAACAAATGAGATTATTTTGTTATATTACCACAATGTAATATCATAATTTTAAATCCGATTTTTCAAATTACATTTATATAGGTTTTTTGGTAATGTCACAGTTCTATTTGAATAGTTACCTTGTACACAGGCTTTTTTGTCAGCTGCCAGAGTGAAGCCATCCCTGCAACCACACAGATAACCACCAGGATTATCAAAGCATAACTGCGTACATTTGTGATTTTCTCTAACCTCACACTCGTTTATATCTAAAGTATATCGTTGTAAATGTAAAACAAAAACTATCACAGCGAAGTAGAAAAACAAAGATATAAACGGTTGAATGGTGTATCTAAGTAGTACGCTGGCATAACAAGGTGTCTACATTTAATTAACTATTAGGCCAAAACAAACCGCCGACACTATTTTTTTCTCTATAATTTCTCTATAAAACTGGCATTATCTTCCAGAACCTTACTCACCAATTCAGTCAGAATTCAATCTGATTACAACACAGATCCTATTTCGTTTCGTTTTTTATAGTTCAAAATTTCGCTTTACTTGTCTTCACTGGAAGGGTTGTTATATAAGCCGCGTTCTGGTTAATGTCAGGGATTAGCAAATGAAGCGATCTGTTGCGGCGAGTTCTTGACGTACTGTGCACGGAATTGTGGGCAAACCACTAGAAACGTCAACGCTGGTTGATTAATCAATGTCTGACGTCGTATGACCTCTGAAGCGACCTATCACTACAACCGGTCAGATCTTCATGTAGTGTAGGCCATCGAAAGTATAAAAAAAACCCGAAATATAGATCTGTATTCTAATCAGATTGGTCAGAAATCATAGAAAATGAATAATAATATTTAAAAAGACAACGGCTATAGAAAACAAGTATCCATGTAGGTTATTATAAGATTGATTTATTAGTTCAGTTAGTTTTATCCAATCTTACCCCACAAACCCACCAACACTATTTAAAAAAATCTGGGACTGGAATTGGAAACACTGGAATTGGAAACACTGGTATAATTTTTTAGATTTATCCCAAATACAGTTAGTCTTTTTTATGTCGATTAGTGGCAACGGAACGATCATGGTTTAATTCAGAAAAATAAAAGTCTACGTTAAATACTTACTAGTACAATGAGTTTTATTGGTTGCAACAAAGCCACTATAACAGCTACATTCATAACTACCATTTTTATTGATACACGTGTGCTGACACAACTGTTCGCCAGTCCGACATTCATTGATATCTATGCAAGTACCGTTTTCTTTTTGTTGTCTGAATCCATTTTGACAAGTACACGTGTAATCCGCTCCTTTAAGATTGGTGCAGGTGGCGTTTAATGGACATGGGTTGGCTAAACAATCATCTATATCTTCAGTACAAAATGTTCCTATCCAACCAGATTTACACTGACAGCCAATTGTGTTATTGCAATAAAGACTGCCTTCTCCACAATTACACTTCATACCACAATTTATTCCCCAATGATAAGGGTCACATTCTGAAATTTAAAAAAAAAACATAACAAAATAGTTAATTGCATTCAAAGTTTAGAAATAATAATTGGAACCCCGTCAATCACACAACTAGAATGAAAAGCCAATGCTATTGACAATATTTTACATTCAAAATATAATGACCTCAAATAAAGGTGCATCGTCGTCATTTCATTTCATTCAATAGTTTCGTTTCACACAATATATGGATAAGTAAAAAAAAACGAATCGTAAAATTGTGGTGTATGTTTGTAATCTTATTCCATAACTTTACCTCTGCATGTCTTAAAATCATTCTCTAGTTTAAATCCCAGCGGACACTGGCATTGAAAAGTCCTTTTCGGACTAATTCCAACTTCTACACACCCATATGTACAATTGGCTTCAGCACACAAATCTGCCTCTAAAATGAAATCACATTTATAAAATTAAAGTGTTTATATAGAAAAAGTTAAAGATACCTCCCGTCATACTACCCCATATATTCGATTGAATACTATAGGAAAAATAACTTTAGAACGTATTTTGAAATAACTTAAATAACTGATTACCTTCACAGGTAGTATTTGTTGAAAAATCCAGTAACCACTTTCTTGGACAACTGCATTTAGTTGTATTGTTAGTTACACTGCAAACCGATGGCGCTTTACATGGATTGTTCATGGCACTGCATGGATCTGACTCTGTATAAGCAACAAAACCCAGAAACTGTGATTACAATTACTATAACTAATGTATTACTAGAAATCATTTGTATCATTCTAACTACAGTAATGGTTATTGCGCTCATCTAAACAAATATGTCTCAGTTTCATTTGGAAAGACACACAAAAGTAAGTTTTAAAAATATAATAAACTAAAACGCAGATAATGTGGAATTTGGATAGGGTTCTTCCTTGTGGCCAAATGAAGCATCCATGCAAATTTGTATTCTGACGGGCAGCTGAAGGAGTTAATGAATAATCTTACCTAAAACACATGTCTGTCTGTTATCTTCTAGGGCGTATCCCATAAAACATCTACATTTATAGGATCCGTCTACATTTATACATGTGTGTTCACACATATCAATATGCAGTTCACATTCATCAATATCTAATAATATTATACATGTTATTATACAATTTTAAATAGGACCTTTTTGTCACAGAGTCTAATATCAATACTGTAAGTTACTTATAAGTATTACCTTTACCCATACATGAGTTAATTCGGTTTGGATATTAAAAGGGTTGGATTTCTTGCTTTAGATTATAAATATAGTGTAGATTTGGCTGAATTGACGATTTTTATATCCAGGATTCCACCTAAATTTTAAATTCAATCTGGTTTAATTCATAATATACAGAAACAACGACACCCAAACACATGTTACAATAACACGTCTTTAGCTGGCAATTGTATTTGTATAAATTATTGTAATTTTATTCATTACAAGAACATGTCTTTAATTGACAATTATATGTGTATAAATTGCTATTTTATGTTTCTAATTCAATATATGGACTTCGATGCGACTTTGAATGGAGAAAAGGATCTTACCTACGCATGCGTTGGTGTTCCATTGATACCCAGACTTACATCGACACATATAACTGCCTAGAGTGTCTATACATTGCTGTACATCACCACAGTTCATCAACCCATTCTCGTTACATTCATTTATATCTGAAAAGCATGAGTTGTTGTGTAATCTAACGGCACATTGGTCTATATTTAAACATTTCAACAAAATATATTTTACTTTAGCTCCAAGGAATTTTCAAGTCTACAGACAAGAAAACTCGGGGATAACGTGACGATTATCACAAGTTCATATTATGGTCCCCTCTTAGAAATCACATTATATTGTTATCGACTATATTATTTAGGCCATAATCGATTTTGCAAAAGAGGAACCTAAAAAAGAAAAGAAACCCCTCACATTATCCAAAGACTTGATTTGTTTGGTTACATGGGTACTTACTGGTACAAGTCCCATTGTTGTTTATAAAACCTGGTAGACAAGAACATCGATAACCACCATCTGTATTTATACATAGTTGATAGACATCATTGCACCTTGCACCATGTAGACATTCATTTACATCTATAGAGCAGTTAAACCCAGACCATCCCCTTTTACAGATACAACCTCTGACAGAGTCACATTTTTCTGTATTAACAGAACATTCGCTACACGATTCGTTACAATTATCACCGTAATGTAGCATATCGCATTCTGAAATTCAAATAAAATTAAAAATTCTATTCTATAAATCTGAATGAAATAAGCGATTTTTTAAACGTCTGGACTTTCATATATATCTAATAATAAGAATTGAAATGAAGGGCATACGCCATACAGTGTGTATGAGGGAAATTTTGCCCGGACAGCTGCGCTACGGCCTACCCTTATATCGAATTCCAACTGCCAAGGGATCTTTTACATGCACGCCAATGCGTACACGGGGCCTCGATTTTTCGTCCTATCCTACCAGGCCCTCCGTCCTGCACCACTGCACCGATTGACTTTCTCTAATCATAAGAACCAAATGGGCTGAGAGACAACCTAAATCCTAATACATGTGCCCCAACCTAATCTTAAAATATATATATGAAACGCATTAATAATTAGAACATTTATCTTTTTATAATTACTTATCAGTCTACTTAATCCTAGTAGAAAATGCTCATTATCGAACTGATTCAAAGCATTTCACAATTAAAATCAAAGTCGTCGTATTCCAAAGACTTGACCAATCAAATTGCTCATCTCTGCTCAACCATTACGTATTGACGTAATGGAAGTACACGCAGAGTTTCAAGAATCAACTGGTATCGAAGTTATTTTGTTCCAAAGCGTCATAAATGAAATTGCCTATTTCTGCTTAGCCTGATCAGAAAACAACCATCATCGAACGAAATCAAGATATTCACCTAATGAAAATGCACATCAACTAGTTATTGGATTCAAACGTTGCGGCACAGATGAACAGCACCTTACCACCAGTCATGACATCTACCTAATGAACATCTACACCAACTTTGAACATTCCAACTCAATTAGAAGCAGAGTTTTTATAGTGTCCGAAAAAGTGTGACTACTGATAGACAGAGCAGGGACGTGGGGGGGGGGGGGTATTTTAATAGTGCCTGTCGAAAGGTGGGTGACAACAAATGACAACAAATTTATGATAAATAATAAATATATAAAGAGAATCAAGAACCCACCTTCGCATACACGGTCATCTACTGATAGCTTAAAACCTGTATTACAGGAACATGTGTAGCTGCCATTAATATTGGTACATACATGCGAACAAATACCATTACTAGTACACTCATCTACATCTATTAAGAGAAACAAAGAAATATGACTAAATCGCTGGGATTACTACAGCCTATCCAAAATATTTATATGTTCACTTTAGAAAACAGTGCCACAGTAAAAAAAATACAGCCATATACCTGTACAAAAGTTCACAAAATTATCAAATAAATATCTTACCAATACAGGTTTTGTTGTCTATATCTAAACTATAACCAATTTGACACACACAGCCTGGTTCATTATTTGTCATAACACAAAACTGAGAACATCCATGCTTTTCACATTTGATATTTTTATCTGAAATTTCATCAAAATACTACCTAGCAAGAGTTTCTAAATGGGTATGTTTTATTAAAAGGAGTTAAAACTTAATATCTTTCATAACAAGAATTATAATTCAATATTGGTCCATTTCAATCGATATCGATGTTGATATGGGATACAGTGAACATTTTATAATCACTATGGTTTCGGGTGTCATTTGCAACGGAGAAAGGAAACATATCCTAGAAGACAATGCGATAGTATTTAGTAATGGCCGATTCACAAACGATAAATAAAAAACCAGTGGCTGTCAGCCAGGATACGCCAACATTTTGCAAGAGATAGATAGAGAACAGGCTAAAACCAAACGGGATTTTTCGTACAATCAGGGGCAATAATCCAAAAGTTATGGTCTAGTCTGGAGGCTCAGTGCGGGGGGGGGGGGGGGGGTGTCCATCAAATGGGCACAAAACCAGACCGTAAAATTTTGTGTAGAATACGATGCCAAGTGGTAATCAGTCCGCCGTTGGGGCATTTTCGAGATATTCGGGGTCAAAGGTCAAATGGGTTTTTAAATCGGATAAAAATTGTGACCTCTACATGGACGGCAAGCTAAAATGTGATTTTCCGTAAAATCAAGGGCTATAATTCAGGAAGTTACACTCCGATCTGTGCGAATATCGAAAGGAACCAAGATCTTTAGGTTATAAACATGTATTTCAGCTCTCATCAAAATCAGGTCAAAATTGTGACCTCTAGAGGGTCCACAAGCTTGATATACCAGATGCTATACACTATGTGCGTACGGGGGGCGTCCATTTTGTCCGGTGTAACAGTGATATATTTTAACGTTTTTTTAAACCGGAAAATAATTGTGACATCTAGAGGGACTGACAATACTATATACCGGAAACACAGGAAATCAACCGAAAAACACCGGAAAACACCATGTTATACTGAATACCGGAAAACACCGGAAAAGCACTAAATAGCGGAAAACACACGAAATAGCGGAAACACTCTAAATAGGTAACCCAGAGCCTAGTCCACTGTTTGCGGGGAGTTAGGGTTAGGTTTTTCCGGTGTTTTCCAGAGGACCAGCGTTGAGTTAGGGTTAGGTTTTTCCGGTGTTTTCCCGAGTTACCTATTTAGTGTGTTTTCCGGTATTTAGTATTTTTCCGGTGTTTTCCGGTATTCAGTATAACATTGTGTTTTCCGGTAGTTTTCCGGTTGTTTTCCGGTGTTTTCCTGTGATTTCCGGTGTTTTTCGGGGCGGCCATTTTGTGTGTTAGTTTTGGTCCGATTTTTACAAAATTCGAACTCAACCATCCTTACCGTGTAACCGTGATATACTTAAACTTTTTTTTTAATCGGATAAAAAATTATGACCTCTATAGGGTCCACAAGCTAAAAACGCTATTTTTCGTACAATCAGGGGCCATAATTCAGGAAGTAACGCTCCCATTTGTACGAATATCGAAAGGATCCGAGGTCTTTGGGTTATAAACTTACATTTCAAGTTTCATCAACATCAGAAGAAAATTGTGACCACTAGAGGATCCACAACCTTGATATACCATATTTTACGCTATTTGAGAACGAGGGCGGCCATTTTGTCTGTCAGTTTGGGGCCGATTTTCACGAAATTCGAACTCAAGCATCCTTAGGGTGAAACGGTGATATACTAAAACGTTTTTTTTAAATCGGATAAAAAATTATGACCTCTATAGGGTCCACAAGCTAAAAGCGAAATTTTTCGTACAAACTGGGGCCATAATTCAGAAAGTTACGGTCTGATATGCGCGAATATGGAAAGGAAACGAGATCCTTGGGTTATACACTTCAAGTTTCATCAAAATCAGAAGAAAATTGTGACCTCTAGAGGGTCCACAACATTGATATACCATATTTTTTAAAACCCGACTTTTCGTACAATCAGGGGCCATAATTCAGGAAGTTGCGTTCCTATATGCGCGAATATCGAAAGGAACCGAGGTCTTTGGGTTATAAGCATACATTTCAAGTTTAAACCAAATCGGATAAAAATTGTGACCTCTACAGTGTTCACAAGCTAAAAACGTGATTTTTCGAACAATCAGGGGCCATAATCCATGAAGTTACAGTCCGATACATGCCAATATCGAAAAGAACCGAGATCTTAGGGTGATAAACCTATATTTCAAGTTTCATTGAAATCGGATAAAAATTGTGACCTGTAGAATGTTCACAAACAATTGTAGACGGACGGACAGGGGCGACGACAATATACGTCCACATGAAAATGTGGGCATATAAAAAACATGTAGAATGGACTAAGATGGTGTGAACGACTGTCGTTCAACTTGGGCTGTTCACGTATTTCACCCAACATAATTTTGACCCATTTTCGGCTATTTTAAGATTCTAAAGAATATAGTCATGCGCCCTTTAAATACCACTGAGGGGTAAAAGGAAGCAAGAAGTGTATATAAACATACAAAAATAATTCAAACTTGTTAACTATGTGCATTCTTCAAAAGAGAATTGATAAGAGAAGGCTGTCTCAAAAGACGTCATTAACTGTAAAACGGAGAGATAGTTTGGACCTTACGTTTGGTATATTTCACCGTTAGTATAGATCCTGGATACCCAACCGCATGGTCGCGACTTTTCGTTTGGTCGCGGCGTACTACTCTGAAACTTTTGAATAAAAAGCCTATACTTGGGCTGACTGAAAAGTTCTAGGCCTGAAAAAGGGGTAGATCGATTGGTTTGAAACAAACTTTTGCCACCAACAAGTACAATAATTGAATGAATCATAGGCATAAGAACTGCAACTGTAGTGTTATTATTGTCATCATACCAGACCATCTTGTGAACCTACCCATTGAAATCCCCAGAAATGGAAAAACTGGCTGTAGGGCAGCCATCAAGTACCTGCAACTGAATGGACTAATCCCAACATAAATAGATGCCGATATGGTCTCCACTTTAGGGGATGAAGCACGTTCCTTTTCCGCAGTAACGAAGTGGGCTGTGGACTTTAAGCGTGGCAGAGAGAGCCTTGACGACAACCCGCCTCCTGGAAGGTCATCAACAGCAACCATTCAAGAAAACATTACCCGGGTGCATGACATGGTTATGGCTGATCGACGATTGACTGCTCGACATCAGTGTTGTGGGCATTTCTCATGAGAGGATTAAAACCATTATCTCCAGTAAGAGGATGGTGTCCCTCCCTTTCCACAGTAATGAAGTGGACTTTGGGATTTTAGCGTGGCAGAGAGAGCCTTGAGGATGACTCGCGTCCTGGAAGGCCATCAAGGGCGACCATTCAACAAAACATTACCTGGGTGCATGGCATGGCGATAGCTGATCGACGATTGACCCACTCGACATATTACCAGTGTTGTGGGCATCTCGCAGGAGTGGGTTGGGCACATTATCGCCATCTGCTAGATGGGTGCCAAAGCCCTTGACTGCGGATCAGAATTCCGTGACAATCTGTGCCGTTTTGTAGTAATGATGACGCCATGTAAGCATTGAATGATTTTCTTAAGGTTACGGAAGACAATTTCTTCCTGACCGGAATCCAAGCTTTGTAAGATCGTAGGTAAAAGTGTGTACACCTCGAATGGGACTATGTAGAAAAAAAAATAGAACCATCGACTTTGTACAGGTCTTTCACGGATAGGTTTAGAACTTTTTAGCCAGTCCCCGTAAATCTCTGATCTATAAACCCCTTGCCACATTGCCAGTCGTCTTTGTTCATTAAATGGGGTCGCAAACAACAAAGAGTTGGGAACCACTGGTACAGATGTTGACCTTTAGCTTATTATCATATATGATATATCTATAGTACCCATCTGTGTGCACGTGTTATTGCTAGTGTTATAATCATATCCATTATAACAATCACAAATATAACTTCCTTCTCTATTCTTGCATACTTGTTGGCAATTGCTGCTTCTTTCTTCGCATTCATTAATATCTATAAAATAAAAATCTGTCTACAAATCTATTATAGTTCAAGTAGACCTAGATAATATTTGCAATTTATTCACTTGCACAAAATACACTTTGAAGATTGAAATACCAATAATAACACAAAACGTTTCCAGATTATTTAGAACAAGCCAATAATGAGGCTGATGTCCCCCGCCGAAATCCCCAAATAAATAGATGACAAATATTAATTAATCGCACATCTATTTTTTTCAAAAGTATGGAGCAATCAACCTGATTATCAACTATATACTAAGTTTCATCACTCTCTATCAGATAGAATCAAAGTTGTCTTGTCCCAAAGAATCGACCAAGGAAATTGCTTATCTCTGCTTAGCTTTAGCTCGATATGTTAATCATTGAACTCAGTCAAAACGAACATCTACATCAAGTTTAAACATTCTACCTCAATTAGAAGTAGATTTGTTATGTTCCAAAGTCTTGACCAATCAAAATGATTATTACTCCTTAGTCTAAGCAGACAATTCTCATCATCGACTTAATAAACACCTACACAAAGTTTGAACATACTAGCTCAATTAGAAGGTGAGTTATTGTGTTCCTAAGTCTCGGCCAATCAAATTGCTTATCGCTCTGCTTACCCTGAGCAGAAAATGCTCATTATCGAACTTACTCAAGGTATTGATGTAATGAAGCTATACACCAAGTTTCATCACTCTGACTTAATTAGAACTAAAGTTATCGTGTCCCAAAGCATCAACCAATCAAACTGCTTATCTCTGCAATTTGCCGTACAACTGCCACTTACCAACAAGTCTAAACTTTTAACCTTGCATAACTATCTTACCTATACACTTCTGATCATACGACTTCCGGTATCCTTGGCGACACGAACACCTATATGATCCAGGAATGTTGGTACATAATTGATTACATGGTGAGCTTTTTCTGGCACATTCATTATCATCTATAATTAAAATGAGTGGTGTGAGCAAACACAATATAAGCTGACTGGTGTCCATTTGCAAAGTCAAAATGAGGTAATTTCCTGGTAAAAGGAGATCAAATATACAATTAAATCACCTTAATACACGCAAGTTTGGCGGTATTCATCAATATCTTTGTAAATAACACAATAGCAGACGGTGATTGTGTTGATGTTCAGGGGGTTCTCACACTTACAACCACTGTTTTCATGGTACGAATATTAAATAATTGCAGAAAATGCTTATTATCGACTGGGTTCATACTTATCATGAAAAAAATAACCCACACAAGTTTCGATAAAATAAAATGTTTATATGAAACTCATATAATTTATCTTTTGTCCCATAAAGGGGCATTCTTGAGCGGGAAATAACTCTGCAAATAACTTAAGTCCAACGTATGACTTCGACCGTATCATTTCTTGGCAGGGTGACTTTTTGGATCAGATGGATCGTAACGTTATTATAGTGGCTAGACAAGTCCAAAGCTGACAGTTCTTTAAAATGAAGTTGGCGTCCAATTGTTTTTTTATGAGCATGCCAATGTGTATACATGATCTGATTTTCCGTCCCATCCGAACGACCATACGTTGTCCTTTCTTGCTAGGCTCTCTGTCCTGCACCACTGGAAAGGGGGAACCGGGCCGGAAAATCAGGATGAACTTATCCAGCCAACTCCGGGATCGAAAACAGAACCTCCAGGATAGCGAGTCAACGTCTTACTAAGTCACCTCTGCTCCCACTTTAAAATGATTTCATGCGATAGTCGGTTCACATAAATATCAATTTAATAGTAGCTAAATAAATGCTGTACAAAAATCTATATTAGAAAAGCTTTCAGATATGATTAATGATGTACATACCTACCTAGTACATAGTTGTAATACCTACCTATACATTTATTATGTATTAATGTAAGGCCTGTGGGACAGTCACCACAGTTGTAAGCGCTATTAAACAAAACTTCTTCAGCCGGTGTTAAATCAGTACAATTATAACATGGATCATTACTACAACCGTCATCATCTAATTCACAATTAACACCTTTAAAACAAAAGCTAATTTAATAGATATTCACACGATTTCGTGCAAATAGAAAATAAATATTTGGGAATAAATGATAAGGGTACATCGAAATCATACTGGTTAGCCTACCTTGGTTACCCTAAAGGATTTAAAAAGTTTCAGAAAAATCCGATTACAACCGACGTCTCTATTCCACTGGCAAGAAGTGTGGGCAGTTGGACAAAAAGGCGCATAACTCTAAAAATATTCAAAAGGTTTACTATAATGGAATAAGAGAGAGAAAGAGAGAGAGAGAGAGAGGGGGGTAAGGTCATTTTGGGACTAACACATGGTTCAATTTTATTTCAATAATTTGCTTGCGCGTATGGGTCTTTTTATCAATGGGAGGAAACCAAAAGACCCGGATAAAGCAAATGAAACGTCGCTGTAAATTTGTAAATACAAATCCGACATGGACTCTAAACTGTAGTGTTCACAAGACATTGTAGGTGGGTGTTCGGCGTACAAAAATCTTGATATGCTTAATAAGCAAATAATGGATTTGTAATTGGTACATTTTCAAATTCAGAAAAGATTTTCCTACAAATTCATAAACAGGGGGTAAATATTTCACAAGTACCTGTATATCCCTGATTACATACACAGGAGAATGACGTAAAACTATCAGAAGTAACACTATCACTCTCTGTAAAATCACAAACACCATGTCCACTACAGTTAGGACATAAATTTACATGTACCAGTTTAGCTACTGATCGACCTCCCATGAAATCAACAGCTGAAAATCTAGAGAAAAGTAAACAATGAGAAATTGTGAAAATAAGATGATAGTCCCTGCACGTACGATATACAAACTATGAAACCAATCTTTCTGAATTAAGTTCCAGGCTTGAAATTAGAATACCACCAAGAGAGCACAGTCGATTTAAATTTCTTTCTGAATTAAGTTACAGGCTTGAAATTAGAATACCACCAAGAGAGCACAGTCGATTTAAATTGTTTAGAACAAATGGTGAAACATAATCACTTACTCAAACTTAACAGGTTTTAGATCTTTTGGAGAATATACGATACTCAGTTGACCACCTTTCCCACAGTGTGAGAATGTTGTAAACGTTCCTCGTAAATACAGAGTTATATTTCGAACAACATCACGTGCTTTAACTTTACCACTTATAGTAACATTTTGGCCAACAGTTACATTAACGACAGGTTGAACTTCTACAATAGGCAAGACATTTTCTGAAATCATATGATTAAGTATATTAACAGAAATGGACGTTGACGTGGGAATGATATTGGGTACTTTCTGTTCAATGTATACTTTGATTTTGTCTTACACGAAATAACTGTTCTATTGGGAAATGTGGTAAATGGGCAAACGATTTTCACTAGTTTTCTTTAACAATTGTCCTGAAACATTTTTATGGTTACCCGGATTCCATCATCCAAGCGTGCAATTGTGATATATTCTTCATGAAGAATCAAAATCTTACCTAGTATCATTTTAGTTTTTATAGCAACATTCCAGGTTTGTTTTGTAGCACGGGCTATTTTTGCTTTACCAGTAGCAAGTAAGTCGTACACACACGCTGTGTTGTTGCCACATACTAAAGTTGCATTAGATACGACTTCCGAACCCAACTCGTCAAGAAAAAAGGGAATAAACTCTCTATGTTGATAGTAACTGTGCAATCGTCCATGTGAAATCTCAAACAGAGAATTCTGTTCGTTTGTTCGCCCTGTAAACATAAAAGATATGAATTTGGTAATTGTGGAGATGTTTCTAGTTAGAGTAGATATAAAGTAAATATAAAGTACTATCAACATATAAATATTTCAATACATACAGTTCAAAAAGAATGTCCGAAAAAAACATTTGGACAGTTAAGTAAGATTAGTGTATATAAAAATGTCACCTACATGTTTCGCCAAATTTATAATAAATGGTACTTTCATTAGCTGTATTGGGAATAACTTCATTGGTAAAGGTTGTCAGATCGTCGTCCTTATTGCCGTTATAATTTCCTAACAAACCACTTACTTGGTAGAATGAACTATTCTTAAAATAATCTGGTATTGACACAGAGAGACTTAACATGTCTATAATATTTCTAATCTCTACATTTATACCTGGAAAGTGAATATCAATTACAAAGTAAATAATTAACAAAAGATGAACCTTTTACACCAGGTTTTAAGTCATTGATATTAATTTAATCAAAACCGATATTTTCAGAATTAGAGCCCTTTTCTTACCTATCGCAAATGAGGCTGTAAGAATGTTATTGGTGACAAACAAGTGTAGAGCTGATCCGGAGATTATAAACTCTTCCACTATACTCTTTGATACATCTACTCCATTGACGTAAACTATAAGATCTAAAAACATGCCGAAACATGATATCACACATTTGACTATAACAAATATATACGTTGAAGAAGCACAGATCGTAGCCGTATTATGAACAGTTATCTAATCTAGAGAATAATTTTAATTTGGAATGTAAATATTGTCATACATAATAACTGCTTAAATATCTAATCATATTCCAGAATTCAAATTTTCTTGTATCTAATATTGTAATTACTTTGTCACAAAGTTATGCTGTGTTGATTCATATATTCATATAGGATTTGAACTGAAAGAAACGAATTCTGAAATTGGAAAAAGATAGATCCGGATTCATGCCAATTAAAAATGCCTTAAATGTAAATGATATTTAAAAAGGGATATGCATACTTGATTTATTGATTGCTTGTTCCACTTGAAATGATCCATTTGTCAGAAAGTCTTTGGCGGCAAAACCAGAGAATAAAGTAGCGTTGAAAACAGAATCTAGTACAGGAGAAGTTCTGGCTTGTAACTGATAAATAAGTTTAGAATTGGAAGCATTCTTTATGTTTAATAATGAATATTCACCCCATCCATTAAAAGTATACCCAAGTCCATCAAGTGTCTGAATGTGTGGATCACCAAATGTAAAACCTACAACCAAATGTTAAATATTGTAGTTTGTCATTAATTATCATCAAATATTATATAGTCTGATATATATCGTTGTTTTATACCAAAATCCGCTATTCTACACATAAATACAATCATTCACCTGTAGATCGTCTGCTACGGGTGTTACATCGTCCACCAGGCCTCAACCGTCGGAAAAGATGACATAAATTAGACTTGTCACAGCAATTCGTTTTCGTTTCCAAATCAAATTTCTGGTGTTGTTTTGGAAATAATGATGGGTGATATCGCACAAGGTGACTTCCACCAGGATAAGAAAATGACAAAGAACCTTGTAAATTGTAACAACATCTCTATCAAAAGAAAACAAATATACCAATATAAAACAACATAAATGCCATTTACCAGGCAACGAAACATGTGCACACCAGCAACTTTTTTTTTTATAGATGCTGAATTCACAAATTGTCAGGATTTTACTGCTTTGTAAAACCAGAACATGCATTTTGCAAGCTATTGTTTTACACCGGTTTCATAATGAAGGGAAATACATCTAGATGTACTGTCAAAAATCGTCGAAATTCAATAGACCGATTCATTTTCCCAAGCCGAAAAATCAATAAAAATTTCATAAATATTAAATGGTACAAAGTTTCGTAGCGAAGTGGAGTTATTGTTTGATAGGCACACAAAACCTTGAAAATACGGTAGCCATAGACAGCAGCTTATCGGAAAGGAAAACTTGGATGGTGCCCAAATTTGATAAGGATCCCCTTATGCCTTCAATGCACCTTATCTCCGTCATGTTCACAAGGAAATCCCGTTCACAAGCAAATCCTGTTAAAACTGCGACCTTTATCTCGTTCACAATGATATCGGAAAAGGGGAATAGCTCTGGAACGGAAGATCGCCGAACACTGAATATAGATAGAGTTTGTCCTCTCGTGACCCCAATGATTCAAAATGAGATGAAAATGAAATGAAGTAAGCTTTAACGTCCTACTGTTCTGCTCCGACTAGGCTAATGAAGACGGGCATACGAAATTTTGCCCAGAAAGCGACGCTACAGCCTACACTTATATCGAATTCCAACTGCCAAAGGATCTTTTACGTGCATTCCAATGTGTACATGGGACCTCGGTTTTCGTCCCATCCGAAAAACTAGACAGCTGTCCTTGTCAAGCCCCCTTCCTGCACCACTGACATGGGGGGAACCACGGCGGAAAATCCCGATCAACTTTCTCGGCCAACTCCGGGAGCGAACCCGCGACCTAAAGGCTAGCGAACCAGCGTCTTACTCCCTTAGCCAACGTGGCTCCGCAAAGATTCAAACCAAATTTGAAAACGGGGTATAACTTTTATATGATGGTCGCGGAAAGTTGATGGGGGTTGTTCTGTTATGACCAAATTTGAGAACAACACGTCAAAAGCTGTAGCCCCTATCGCGTTCATAAGGTTTACAGAACAAAGGGGGCGGGCTCGGGAAAGGAAAGTCGCAGAGCGTTGAATATCGATAGGGCTCATTCTTTCACGACCCTCATGTTTCACAGAAAATTGTTTTCGATAAGAGTAGAACGTTAAACCCCATTTCATTTCATTTGTTTTCGATAATGAGAGAATAACGGAATGTCGTGGAACGCTGAATATCAATAAGGTCTTGACCCCGATGATTCCCACAGAATCTGAAAAATCTATTAAAAAATATAGCCTCAATCGCGTTCACAAGGTTTTCGGAAAATGAGACATAATGTACTGTAGCCCCTATCGAGTTCACAAGCCAAGTGTTGACGACGGACAGACGGGCAGGGCGACGACATAGTAAACCCACAGTTAAATTTGGGTGTATAAAAGTGTTTTTCTGTCGGGTGGCATAAATTCTAGCTACGCTTACTAGATGCTGATTCAATAGCTTTAAAAAATATAAGATATTATAAATAAACTTACACGTGCTGTTTTATAACCATGTTGTGGTAGTTTGTTATAATAACACCCATCGCTATGCAGTATAAATCCAGCGTTTAACTTGACACGACGCAAGTTACAGGGACACCTTATTGTTTGTCTATTTTCAACTTTAATATCCTGTATGAACTTACTCTCTTCCTGGTACCATTTAATACATTCCAAATCATGGTTTCTTTCTATAATACGAGGACAGTGACCGAGTTCATAGCCGAAAACACCGTTTTGTATTCCTTCAGTACCTGCATAAGTAATGTGTTAGTGATAATAAAAAATATACCCCATGTAATAAGTTTATGCAAGCTAGAATAATTTGTAGTATAGTTATAATCATACTAATTGTTGAATATGCATATCAATTTAGAAAGTCTAACAGTTGAAGCTCTTGTACTTCCATTCTGTTTGAATGGCTGTTCTCCTAACCAAGTGTAAACCAGGACATATTTCAGTAAATTGAGGGCTAGAATTATGATTTTTCCAAGATATATTATAGGGTTTTTCGATCAAAGGGAGAGTTGACAGGAAATAAATATAAAAATTTTAATAAATGTAATAAATAGTTATTTAGACAAGGTGTTAAAAGTATAAAAGATGATATTTTAAAATGTATTTGATCATCAAAATTCAACTGAGGGGGGGGGGGGCACTGAAACGTTTGCCCTGGGGCGCCACATAGGCTTGTGAGGGCCCTGCTAGTAGCTGCCTTTCGTTCCCATATCTCATTCAATGATTATAGACTGTGTGACTAGGTTAACTAGTGCAGAAGTGAACCTAATCTTGCATTCTTTCAACATCGATCTTAATCTGATTTCTTTAGGGCTGCTAATATATTCGTCGTAGGATATCCACAATAAAAATATTCTCGTATTAATTCTATCTTGAGAACCTATACAACAACTGATGTAAATAACAGAAACCACACCCACATCGTTATCAGTGCGCTTTCGTAGCTTGTTTAACTATAGTATATAACTGTACCTAGAGCACTAGGTCACTCTTTCACAGTACAGTTTAAAATTTAAAGTTTAGAACAGAGATTTAAAATATAATCTCTATATTATAGTCTATATATATTAATCTCTATATATCATAGAAATGTCTTGTTATATAAAGGATCTTATTGACGGTTCCTTGTCCAGCATAAATCAATGTATTGAAAATAAAATACCAAACGGCAAATAAACTGCAAATGAATTCTCCTGGTACATGCTTTTTTTTCTCTATAGCTTAACATTGAAAAAGGGCGACGCACGACACGCGACGGGGATTTTGCGTCGCGCGTCGCCTTTTTACAAGGGCGACGCGTGAAGTGGCCGAAATAGAACACCATAGTTGTATGTATCTCTCGTGAATGTCGCGTCTACAGTAAACTATGGAAACCTGTTGCGGTATATTTGGAATCTCGACTTCTTGCTCCCTCATCCTCAAGTTTTCGACTTCTTGCATTCTTGCGTTTTGAAATCCACGCATTATCGACTTCTTGCCCCTCGATTTCTAATCCCAGACTCATCGACTTCTCTTGGTGTGAAGTCGAGATTATAAAATGACCGTAACAGGCTTCCATAGTATCACAGTA